ACAGTAGGCTGACCTAAGGCTTAGGTCCCCTGCCTGGCTTAGCTGTGCAGGGACCTGCAGCACCTGTGCAGTGAACAGCTGAGGCCTCTGCAGTAGGAACTTTGATACAACAATCTGCTTCTGCTGAAGCTTAGGCTGGAGAGTAAGAGCAGGATCAGCAACTGCATCTTGAGAATGGATGCTGGAGCTGCAGAAAAGCTGACTGCATTTTGGCATCCTGCATATTTACTCCTAATTTTCTCATTTCTCTGACAAATTTGGGGTGCTGTGTTGCAGGAAGTATACCCTTTCCAAGCAAGAACAAGCACGTTTAAATTTGTATGGATACTGAAGATATCACTGCATCAGTTCCTGTTCAGCATGGCAATACTGCAGTCATCTCATAAAGCTCTTCTGCTTTTCTTCCTGCAAATTCCTTTGAATTATTTCCATCCACAAGTCAACAGAATCATATGGTGCTTTTACATACTTTACTCTTTCTAGACATTCTTATGCGGTCTCTACAAATGTGTTAGAATTCCCAAAGCAATGCAAAACTAATGGGGCTTTTTGGAACACGCTCTGAACATGAAAAGATAATATAAAAGGTTACTGTATTTCTACTTTTTTGCCCATAAGTTAAAGAGGGTGATTTTTTTTTTCCTTTTTGAAACTGTACACACTTTCTAAAGGGAGATAAGAAGAGAAGAGAATTTTGTTGATTTTAGAGCTCACCTAAGGTGAACAGTGTATGGCTTGGTGAAAACAAAACTAAAGTTCTCCGATAGCTGAGGAAGGAGGAGATACTGGTCTGCTGAGTTCCAGTTCTTGAGCAGCATAGAAAAGCAGTAATTTTTTACAATTATTGGGATTTTTTGACATGCTAAAAGAATACCTATAAGCTTTCTGGGGTCAGTGGGAGAGCAGGCCTTTCTTGCAAGGAGCAGTAGTGAAGACAGAATAAGATTAGCCTATGCTTAGTGGCAAGCTACTCAGGCATGGTGATGGTTATGGGATCTTGTCACAAGCCCACCTCAGTTCCAGCAGTCTGGATGCCTCTGCAGAAGCAGCTCACACAAGGCCTGGCTGTGCAAGTGCACAAACAGGTGTGTGCACTCACTCAGGGGGGCTTTCTTATCCTATTGTATTCTTGTTTAGAGCGGGAAAAACTAATGTGAGACCTGCTGGTACCACAAGGCTTCCACAACAGTATGAATTATTAAACAGCTCTTCAGCAGTAGCAGAATGTGCCTTTGACAATGGTCTTTCCAGCTAATACCCCTCTGAGTCTCAGGAGCAAACCATTATGTGTGCAGAAGTACATATGGCTCACCCTCTTACACTCATCTAGTACAGCAGCTGAGTTGATAATGGGACAAAAGAAAATTATCATCCTCCTTTTCTGACTGCTTCAGGGCTCCTGGAACCTTCTAAACTCACTAACTGCTATTAATACCCTCCCATGAAAATGCCTGTGCCTCTGGCTTTACTATCAGCAACTCTTTTTCCATTGTAACAAAGCAAAGAACCTGTCAAAGGCAGTTAATACATTGAATTTTATTTATTTACAAAGAGGTGTAATTGAAATTGTAGTATTAAATTTACTAAATCATTAATCCTAGAGAGTATCTGACAATGTTATCATTACTATGCTCAGTTTGTGATGATGTGGTGATGATGATTTTGCATAATTCACTTTTGAAACCTGAAATTTCTAGTGGTCTCCAATTCATTTATCCCTCTTCTTAATTTATGACCGAAGAAGTTTCAGGTCATTGTCCTAGAGTAGCAAATATTTTATAATTTGTGCTAATTTAACCTAATGTAATTAAATATAGCTATGGGTGTGTTCACCTTTAAAAACATCCAATATTGTAATTAGAATAATTAGTAATTGAGAAGTCTAAGACAGAAACAAAACCTTCTAACTGCTTGACAGCTGTGTTGGCTGTAGCCATTTTCAGAGCTGGGAAGAAGAGAAATTTGAGTTAATTTAAATCACTCTTAAAATTAGTAGATATTAGAACTAACTGAAAGGTCTTAGTATTATTAGTAGATATTAGAACTAACTGAAAGGTCTTATAATTCCATATCATGACTACTTAATTACCAAAGCTGAAATGAGGACCTCATAATCTTTCAGTTGCTGTCCTAGACCTACCTACTCTCTTCAATTCTGCATCAAAAGCCAGCATGATGTAGCCCACTGTGGAGGCCCAACTTCTTGCCCTGCTTTTCCCCCCCTCTCTTATTTTTCTTTTTTTCAACTTCCCACTTTGAATTTATCCATCTTTAATATTGTTTTTGTAAGTTTGCATGACTTTTGGAAGTTCTCCTACAAAGATACAGCTGCCTTGGTTTTCATTCTTCCACCTAAGCACAATGAATGTACTGGGTAAATTACAGAGCATCCCCATTAAGTGCCCTGGGTAAATTACAGAGCATCCCCATTAAGTGCCCTGGGTAANCTGGGTAAATTACAGAGCATCCCCATTAAGTGCCCTGGGTAAATTACAGAGCATCCCCATTAAGTGCCCTGGGTAAGTGATTTACATCTGGGTATCTGGTAAGCATTCCTCTTTACACTCACTGATGCAAATTACCTATTGCTTGTGGATTCAGGCTCTTTAGTCCTGCTCCTCTTCAAACTGGAAAATGTAGAAGACTTAAAAACTTAATCCATTAACATTCAACTCGGATAAAGTCATATTGCTTTACCCGAGTTGAACATAGGAATGAAAGTAAGGACTGATTACATCAGCCAAACCCTCAAGTGCAGAAGTTTATCTATTTAGAGGAAGAGAGGATGCTATAAATCAATACAATGTTTTCAGGGAAGCATTTTGTTAAGTATGTCATTAAACTGACCTAATACCAAACCTTTGCTTGCAGGTACCACAACTTCCTGGCTTTTCCTGGCTAAAGCCCTGCCTTTCAGCATCTGATATTGTGTACATTGGTTTGAGGGATGTGGATCCTGCTGAGTAGTAAGTTTGTTTAGATTAAACAATTTTTGTAAAAGCTGAAATAATAAGCTTGATATCACATCCATAAGAGTTGCTAGATTTCAGCTTAAACCAATAATGATTGTTTATAAAAAATTATTTTCACAGCTATATTTTGAAGAACTTTGACATCCAGTATTTTTCCATGAGGGATATCGATCGCCTTGGAATTCAGAAAGTTATGGAAAGAACCTTTGAACAACTGATGGGCAGGTAACAAACCATTATCTAATTTAAACTACTCTTGTTGAACATATGCTTTCCTGAAAGTTATTTAATAAGTGAAGGTCACTTGCTGTAAGGGGGGGCTGTACAGAACTGTGCCAGTGTCCAGTATTTAGGGAAGTCTCAGCACTGGAACCATTTCATGGTGTTTGTAGATGGCTGAGACAGGTTACGACTCACTACAGCTGTGGCTCTGTTTTATACTATTTGGTTCTGTTAAGTAATTCTGCATTTTCTGCAGTCTGACAAGATGTTTGAATCAATTCAGAGTGCAGGATACAAATTATCCTTTTAAAAATACATACAGCAACTTGATAGTAACTTGAAATGAGCTGTTGGTATGGGAGGTGGAAGCATTTAATGGCTTCCTTTTTGGACTGCTCACACACAATGTCCTGATGGCAGCTGCCAGTGCCAGTGAGGCTGGTAAAGTTCACTTTAACCACTTTCTTACTGCAGTTCACTACTGCCACCTTTGAGACCCTTGTTCAAGTTTGGGGAACCAGGTCAGGGAGCAAATCATACCAGGAGCTGGGAGAGGGTCACTTAGAAATGGTAACCTCTCCCACAGATTAGAACCTGTGCTGCATGCTGCTGTATTCTAAAGGTGTGCTCACCCTTCCTAGATGCAGCTGTGCCAAGTAAAGAAAATGGTAATCCAGATACTTTTCCTTACTGAGCATCTGCAGTAAGTTGGAAGTATGCAGTTTGCCACTTAAATAATTCATGTGAGTGACAAGCAGTGTCCACTTTAATAAGCTGTCATCAGCTGGCAGATGATATAGTAAGTAACTAACATTTTAGTTTTGAGACTATTTTTTACTACTTCAGCAGCTAGGCTGCATGGCACGGTTTGGATATACCTTTAAGTATTGACCTGAAAAATGCTCATCTTGATGAACTGTCAGTGAAATCCTTGAGCTCAGTGCTTCCTCCATCCTAGCTGCCATGCACATCAGTGTTTCAGCCTTCACCCTAGCTTTCTGTACAAAAGGAGAAAAGGCTGAATTGTATCATACACTTCTCTTACTCATTCCACTAAGATGGCAAATACCAGTTAAGATGGTGTAAACTGAAGTACTTATCTTCAACCAAATCCTCACTGAGTAGATGTTTTTTTAATGTATATGAGACATGGTTCAAGGAGCTTGATGCTACTTTGCTGATTAGCCTAGACAGTAAGGAATGCACATAGAAAAAAATTCAAGGCTCTAAGATTGCTTTTCTTGTTTTATTCTGTCTCAGGAGACAGAGACCAATTCACTTGAGTTTTGACATTGATGCTTTTGAACCCTCACTGGCTCCAGCAACGGGGACTCCTGTTCTAGGTGGATTAACTTACAGAGAAGGAATGTACCTCACAGAGGAAATACACAACACAGGTAGGAGCTGACCAGCAGTACGGGGCTAAGCAAGGACAGGACAAACTACCCAGAGTTCATACTGGTTATGTTTTTCTGGTAGAAATAGATAGTAAGAGTAGCCAAAGCAAAGATGCCTGAAAGAAGTCCTGTGACTGGGCAATTACCTTGGTGTTGGAAGCATCTTAACCACCAACAATTTCAGCTTAGCAAAAGAAAATACACAATATGTTAACAATTAATGTCAAAAATGTGTAATACTGTTCCTTAATCCTAAACACATGAGGTGAGATGTGAAAATGGGCATCTGGAATAAAAAATGGGTGCAAACACTCTTAAATAGTTTGAAGTTCCATTCTAGGATTCAAGACCAACAAATCAAGCTTTCAAAAAATATACTGCAGTTGATTCAATATATGAGGACTTTTCATCTTATTACCATCAAGTTTTTATTTAATATGTTTTAACAGTATTATTTGCAGTAAAAGAAGGTTAAAAAAATCCCAACCAGACAATAGTCTATATATTCATGAACAGGATGGAAAAGATTATGAAGAGAGACTATTTTATAACCCCTCATATTTGGACTAGGAGAAAAAATGTTCCTCTCATAAATGTGTATGGAACATCAAACATTCTTCTTGAATGTTGAAAGCACAAATGAGTGAGGTAGTGATGACGTAAGGAAAAACCAAATTAAAAACACAAATTTACATCTGAGAACAAACTTCATCCCTCAAGAGCCAATCTTACTTGTCTAAGGGGTAGAGCAGGTCACAAACCCAAATACCAGACTTGTTACAATGAATAAAAGTCTGAATAAACAAAACCTTGCAAGACTGTACCCTTTGTCAGAGTAACAAAGCTGCAAATCGTTTTCACAGGAATGCTTTCAGCTGTAGACATGGTTGAAGTCAATCCCCTGCTCGGAGCTTCTCAAGAGGCAGTGAAAGCAACTGCTCACCTTGCAGTCGATGTGATAGCAACGTGCTTTGGGCAGACAAGGGAAGGAGCACACATCGCTTTTGATGAACTCCCAACACCCAGCTCTCCAGATGAATCTGACAGTGAAGAGCAAGTGAGGATTTAAGAATCCATGTTGGATATATTGGACAATACAGAGCTCTGCTGAGGCACTTGAGTGGATAGATTGTCAACACTTGGCAAATACTGTTAATGTCCCAATTTTTAAATAAACTAGCTTTTTCCATTGATCAGTGGCTACTTTATTACATAGCAAGATTTATTCATTTAGTTAAGTATATACAAAATGACAGAATAAAATATTTATTACCTTCTTATTAATCTTACCAGTAGTTCAAGCCTGTTTCTTTTTACTCCCATTCTCTGTCTTTCAAGTGTCAGTACAGTTTCAGTTGAATGTGCTGTCTCATGATTCAGTTCAACCTTCAGACAGTCAAAGGGAGCAGATAGCCCATCCTGTTCCTCATCAGTGGAAAAGCTCATCTTGGTCATGAAGGTTCATTTCTTGCGAAAGAACTTGAAGTAGACCACACCTCCTAGGATGGCCAGTTCCAGGATGATGATAATTGACAGCAGCAACTTATTTGTGGTTATTCTAGAGATAAAAAATAGAAATCCAAGGTTTTTTTTCAGCTTGTTTATGAAAGCAGATTCTAGATCCAGATCACCATCTTACCTTCCCTGTTTCAGCGAGCCCACACTGCTTTTCAAAAAGCTCTTAACAAGCAGAAAGGGCCAAACTCAATAGTTCACTACTCATGTTTTCCTGGAAATCCTGATTGAATTTCCTATTTCAGCAGTAGTAGTTCTGTTCCTCTTCCCCTGCCCCACAGAAGGCAGATCATTGCTCTATTTGTGCCTACTCCTTCACTTAAGCAAAGAGGAAAACAATACCTGAAGTCCTGTGCTAAAAAACCCTCACTGTGGTGCTTTTACTTGGAACTATGTTGTTGAAGGAAAACTAAAATCCCAAAATAATAAAGTACTTTTACTACTGAAAACTGGACAGTTATCGCAACTTCCTTTAGCAATGGGCATAAAGGAAAGGTTGTGAGGAGATGAATACCTGCTGGGAATACAATCTATGAACTGTGTTTTTAAGGCTAATTAAACAATGTAGCTGAACTGCAAATCCACTTAAGAAGTCAAGGTTTTAGCCATCAAAATAGTACATGGTTAGGCTCAGACTGTCTCACGGGCCAGCCTAGGACTAACTGCTCTAGGGCACTGGTGTGGGCTAAGCAGATTTCTCTGTGTCATCAGGCATCTAACTTGCCAAATGCTGCAGTGATTTATGGCACAGCTTTTCCCAACCTGAATGAGTGGGATCTGAAGGCACCATGAGCAGGTCACTGTAACTTGCTTTTGTCCTCACCATGGTTTGGATGGTTAAAGACCTCACATCATCTTGACCAAACCCCACACATTCAGTGCTGTTCAACAGCCTCTACTCCATTAAGCAATTACCAGAGAGGAAAACATACAAATTAACATCTGCATGTGGGCACACATTCTGTTTATACATTCCCTAAAACCTCCCTGCAGTCCCAGCTGACATTCTATTTTTCCCCCTAAATCCAGCAGGCACCAATGCTCCATGCTGCTGTCAGTCACACCACTCACCTCCGAGACATCGAGCGTAGAATCTTGCGACTCTTGCTCAAGTTCTCACTTGTATTCACCAACTGAGGAGAGACAGAAGTTACTTGTCAGTTAAACAAGCACACATCAACTCTGGAAAGATGCACGTGAAAGCAGCTGGTGTTGAAATGCTGCAATGAATTACAGAACCAAGGATGACCATGTACTTTCAAAATTGAGACACAACATTGTTTTCTACCCAGAATACCAGCTGGAAGCATTACCTCTTTTCTAAAGAGAAATTAAGATTTTTGTGTATACTTTCCCTTAGATACATACAAAGATATGCAATTTGAGACCACTTTCTGCCTCTTTAATTAATATACAAATATCAGAAAAGTGGTATTAATTTCTTCCATTAAGTTTAATTTCTGTTAACACCAGAAGAAAGTGATAGATGTGTTCACCCTTGTGCATAGCAAAGTGTTTGAAATGCTGCTCAAGTTCTATCAAAGAAAGAACTGTGTTGCACTCAGAGGTCTAAGTGACCCAGTGGGTACAAGCTCTGAGCTGTTAATGGATAATCCATTTCAGCTTTGTATTGCCCAGAAATGAACTGCCCAGCATATCCAGCCAGCTATTAAGAAACATGAAATGAAGTGAGGTTTTAGAAAACTAAAAAAGGTTTTGCTCCACAGACATGATTCATGCTACATGGCCACTGGTCTCCAGGTAAGATTTCATTATTCTACTTCCAAACATTCTAGGGAAATGAAGGGTAAGCCAGGTCACTTCTATCACACCTGCCTGAACAATTTCTCTGTAGTTTAACATATTGCCCTCAACTACAAAACTGCTTCTGTGTTTCTTTGCACTGAGATGTGCTGGACAAAGCTGGGAAGAAAACTATCAAATCCATTCAGAACTTAGTAGATTTCCGATCTTCACTATGAAAGAACAAGTACGAAGAAAGTTTGCTTCCAGTTGGAATGTGTGGTTCACACAATTCCACAATTCATTGCTGAAGAGGCTCACAATATAAGGCACAGACCCTGTTTAGTGATGAACACAGCAGTGATGGGTTAACAGTTGGACTCAATGATCTTTGAGGCCTTTTCCAACCTAAACAATTCTATGCTTCTGTGAACTATCTGTTGACAGACTGTGACACCTGAAGGGTGTATTTTTTATTAGCTAAAGGACAAAAACTATACCCACAAATCTTAAGATCAATTTCCTATCCTGCTTTCTAGGCCAAATTTTGGAACAGGACAAATCAAATTCTGACTGAAATTACCGAACTACTTAAACAAAAAAGCTACAGGATTTCTTGCAATGAGTAGAAAGAACTCCCAAAATCAAGGGTATGGTTTTTGTTTTGGCTGAGTGGCTTATTTGCCAAACTCGGTGTCCCATGAAGTCACTCACCTAAAAGCTTTACACTTGGGATCCCTTGCACACACAGAAAATCCCAACAGTTTGTTAGTTCAAAAATCAAATTGTCAGTTTTGCATATGTGTGTAAACAAAACAAGTAAACTAGTTTTTGAAGCTTTCACAGCAGAAGCAGAGCTTCTTGAACCAAGGATGAGGAATAAACATATTGTCTGACATCTTCCCCCTCTCTGCAAATACTGGAGAGCTAGTAATTAATCCTCTTCTACTACATTTAATTTCATTACAAAAACTTGCTAACTGCTTTCAAAATCTTTCAACTTTAACTAGTAATCTATTCACAAGGCAAATCCTTAACAATTTTCTAATCTGTAACTTTTTCAGTAATGCTATTTTTTCTAGCATATCTATAGGTCTAATCTCCCATCTTGCACAGACACAGCAGCAGACATTTGACTACCATGCTTTGGACCCTTCTACAGTAATTATTTTTCTTTTATGAGAACAAGTAGAAATTGTGGCAGCCTGAATTTGGTCTGTAGAGATATCCAATTGGATGACTATGCCTAGGAAGGTCCCTGAGAGTAATTACTGGCATACAGTTCCTACTAAGTAACATCAGGTTGTTTCAAAGCAATTCCCAGTTTCCTGCTTACCCTGCTCTTGGTGCGTTCCAGCTGCTCCCGCTGCTCCCCGAGTTCCTCGATGATATCCGTGCCAATCTGATCGGTTTCGGCTGCGATTCGGTGCGAGCGCTCGATGCTCTCGCTGGCTCGGTTCAGACTGTCTGTGCCCTGGAGAAGCAGCACCCTCTGTGACTGCAGGTTAGTCTGAAAAATAATGGGTGCTTAACTATTAAAGCACAAAGACAGAAGTATTGGGCTTGTAACATTAAAAAGTTAGAATGTGACTCCATAGGCCATATATTTGTATTAGCTGTACATACTTCTTATCTTAACTGATGCAGCTCAGTTAATTTTGGCTGAGCCTTGTTCACCTTGTAAGATTATGACCAAATCTGGTTAAATCTCTAAAAAGGATACAGCACTGAAGACTTAAAACAGTTCCAAAAATCTGTCTTTGTAACAATTTACTTTTCCATCAAAGAACATTTACATGAAAATAGTACCTTTCTTTTCCAGATGCTAACTTTTACTTCCATTCACATCTAAAGTCAGCCTTATTTTCGACTTCACAGCTGGTTGCCCGGGAAATCTTTAAGAGTTTACAGTCAAAAGGATTAGGAACAAACAGCACTAACAGATGGACTGCTAAGTAACAAAGATCCTCTTTTCATGCCAGTAGCCTGGTCTAGAGGATAAGGAATGTTTGCTGACCTTGGGGTCAGACAGTAGCTCAAAATAAAATGTTTTCTTAAGCTTCAGAAAGTCTAATCTATCATCCTGCTCTCAGGTTTTAGTGTAATCAGTCAAGAGGAATCAAATGCAAAAATTTCCCAAGCTACAGCAGAAGGAAATACTAAGCAAAGAACCCCTCCTCATCTAAGGCAAAAAAACCCAAAAAGCCCACCTCCATGAACTTTCTGTACACATGACAGCACTTTGAAGACAATAAGGAGATTCAGTCTCACTAGCTCAGATATCGCTAAGCCTATCTGGTAAACAAGAAATTGGTGTACTTTTTGCATTGTAGCAGCAAAACCATAGTGAAAAAAGTGCTAGAGGAAAAATCCTTATATTTTCTTGAAATTATTTACACTAAGATTGTTTAAAAGATAATTCTACCGAAGAACCTATACAATGCATGATTCACATTTTGTAAGTTTTGGAGATTAGAACTAGCTAAGTTAACTTTTTTTTCAATAAGTAGCATCACTTCTGTGTTTTCCCTTCTTTAGGAAGGGAAACCAAACCTGTGGAATGATTAAACAAAGAGTTTTGGTACAGAATGTTGTGTAAATTACTAACCGCATGGCTTTCAAGGAGTTCCATTTTGATTATATTCCTATCTTTGTTTTAGAACAGAAAAGCTCTCCTCTGAGTTCCAGGTGTTCTTTCTCCTCCCTGAGATATTCATGTTACATGTAGAGAGATATACAGGGAGTTATAAAAGCACAGAGGTGGCTTAAAGTAGAAACACTGTAAACAATGCGTCTGGGATACTGCTTTTGCACAGTCACAGCACACCTAAATAAAATTTACATCTAATCCTTACACTCTGTTCATTTTCTGTGGCAAAGATTCCATATTTTGTATCGCCTTGGTTTCCACGGCCCAATCCCAAATCTGTGCTTCTCATCTCCCTCTGGAACATGGACAGATCTCTTCTGTAGGCTCGGATTTTGCTCATCATTTGGTTGCGGAAAGGTATAGGAGCGTACTTCAGTTCTTCCTCCATTTCCCGCAGCTTTAACAAAAGAAAGCACCAAATCTCTTCTTAGCAGCAGCGGTATACTCAAAACTCAGCACCAGATGAAGGGATTCACATGTTTGTGTTGGAGTGGCTGAGGGGGATAACCTTAAACCCCACACCCCATCTAGTATTGAGTACACTATGGTACCCAATGCTGTTGAGCCCATGTGCATTTTCAGATACACAATGTCTCAATAAACACTTGATTTTTTTTCCCTAAAATATCACTCTAAATTTCAAAATTTGCAATTCTCACTTTCTTATAGTTTAAGAATTTATAGGATGGGTATCACCTTTTATTATATCTGTGCAACAGCGACAGAATCATAGGATGGTTTGGGTTGGAAGAGACCTTAAAGACCACCTTGTTCCAACACCCCTGCCATGGATAAGGACACCTGCCACTAGACCAGGTTGAATACTGTCCTTGAATACTTCCAGGGATGGGGCATTCAGGGACATCACCCTGATAACAGGGTGGGGCATCACTGGGACTGACTGTTATGACTTTTTCAAATGCCAAAACAATGGTTTAGCAACTACAGCAGCCAATTCCCTCAGGACTCTGGGATGCATCCCATCAAGTCCCATAGATATATGTACATTCAGGTTTTTCATGTGGTCATGAACCTGGCCATCCCCTAAAGGAAGGAATTTGCTTCCACTGTGCTGGCATGGCAGTCCACTAACCCAAGAGATTTGGGAAAAGAGATTACCATTGAAGACTGAGGTAAACAAGATGTTAAGTACCTCAGCCATCTCCTCATTCAGATCTATTGCATGGGTAGGCACAGCACTAAAGTCATGCTCTGAATATCTAGGCTTGGCAACTGGAGTTACAATCTGCAAGCCACGAGATTCTGGATGCATGAATTTTCACATCAACTTCTAGTGACAGTTGCAACAAATTCAAAATGCTTAAAGCTGTATGCCAACATGAGTTCTCACAGTAGGAGCTCCACATCTCATACATCACCTAGAGGTACCAGTCAATTAACCCCAGTAAGTTAGGGGAATAAAGCATCATGTTCAGCTGTGACTAAAAAAACAACCTAACAAACTGCACACTGAAATATGAAAAGAAAGCTTAATCCATAATGTCTTGCTTTAGAAGACGAGTCACATAGCTTTTCTGGTGCTGTTCTATATCACCTGCTGTCCAGCAGGCCTATACATTACTACAGAAAGATCAAACCAACATGAAAACAGACAATAGGGCAATAAAAAACCCCAGGCAGCAGATTCTCTACATGCCTGCCCTAAAACCTCTAGCAATTTTAATTGCACCTCCACCATTCTACTTTTTTCAACAAAGTGAAGGCAGTAATCAAAACTGAGCATTTTAAAACCCTCAAAAACACATAAGAATATGGGTCTAAATTTATGTATGCATATATAAGTATACACAACAGTCTTAGCAAACACAGACACGCCTGATCAATCGTCAAACAGTAAAAAAATTAAACTCCTGCCTGCCAGAACAGGATCCATAAAAAACTAACATTTGTAAGCACTGTCCTTTTTAAGGCAGCAGTTTTTCAACCATGAGGAATGCCAGAAGCCTCACACTCACCGTCTCATTGGCTTCACGCTGCTTCTCATCGAATTCTCGAACCAGTTTTTTCTTCTCCTCTAGAAAAGTCAAAGCAGTATGTCAGATAAATTATAGAGAAATGACAACAGAACTCCAACTCAATCCATTAAAAACAAGGAAGCTGCCACAGATGGCTGGCTGCAGAACACCAGGTCAAAATTTATCTCAAATGGGAACAGCTTGTTCTTACAACAACTTTTCAGATGGCAGTGGGGCAAGAGAGCAGAAATCACTCTTCCAAATGCTGAACACTACCTCTGGTAGACAAAAGAAGTAATTTTTCAAATATTTTTCTGACCTTCAATGTCCACTGACAGAACTGCGTGTTGAAAAACATTTAGTGTGAAAGAACAGCAAAGAAGACACATTAATAAAGAGCTCATAAATACATTGGAAACACTTAGCAAGATTACTGAAGGTTGAAACTGTAACTTGGATTTGAACAGAACATCAGGTCAATCTACATTTTCAAGTCAGATCTGAAGGTCCTGGCAGATCTGGCACTCTTCATTCCTATGGTCATGAAGTACCTAAGTACACAGGATAAGCATTCCAGAATTCTCTGAGATAAAAGATGCCACCAAGGTATCACCTCAGGTTCACAAACTAAAGCCCAAATGCTTCCCTCTTGTGGTATGACACGAGTTGTTTGAATAGGCCAACAACACTAGACATTTTAGTTGTTTGAGACAGTAATTTACCCAGATCTGTGTACCTAGGGCTTTGGAGACCAAAGAATGGGTTTCACTGCTGTTGCTCTATTTTTAAACAAAATCTTAAGGCATGTATTTTTCATGTGTTAAAAAAACTAACATATCTAACATCCACCATCAATGAAAGTCTAAATCTGAAACTTTCCGTATCTCAACTGAGCAAAAACACATTTCTGCAATCTTTTGCAAAAGCACTGAAGATGACCAGAGGACTGTGATAGAGTACTGCAAACAAAACCAAATTCTAGCAGAAATCTGATAATTATGCACCTAGCTTAATTCACCTTTCAAAAGAGTGTTATTCAGTCTTAAACAAAATTCTAGGCAGCAGAAAATGCAGGTTGCCATCTTGGTAAAACTCCTCCAATTCATTTGATTAAAGACAAAAGTACATATAAAATTATAAAAATATCATCACAATAAAATAAAACTCACTTGCTAATGCATTTTGGTAAGAACAGTCCTCTGCATAAGAGGTAGCTTTTAAACCACTGAGATCTCAACAGAAGATAGGAAAAAACTTGAAGTGTTCAGAACACTGGTTTATAGCTCCTCTCACATATACAACATGTCTAAGCTGTAGACTTTCCTTCTCAGTTCAAATTCCGATTAAGACCAGAATCTGAACTGTAGAGAACTTAAGACAGAACTAAATCCCATCATCTAAAGAAGTAGCTGTGGTCTCACACAGCACATAGAATTATTACAGACTAAGCTACATCATAACTAATATATTACACATCAGCTGGCACCAGGAAATACAGTTTCACATCCCAATTTATTCAGCAGGAAATGCTGACTTAAGAGGTTCTTAAATACACTCTCCTCAACTTCCTCCATGATTTGCATCATATACATTTGTGCTGATGCCATTGTTTGTGTAGCTGGGTTACAAATGAAACCATGGACATGAACTCTGGAAAAACAGCCTTTGGAAGTCAGTAATTTGTTTCATTCAGGTTATTTCACTAATCTGATTCAAGCAGTGCCCTCTTAAACCCACTTTGTTGTCTCAAAGTAATGGAAACCCATCAGAGATCTGGAAATGCAGCATTTCCTTGCTTTATTTCTCCTATTCAGAATAATAAGATGCTGCACTTATAAGCTGGCAGCCAAAGAAATGCCAGCTTCCAAAAGGCATAGAATCATGGAATGGTTTAGGTAAACCAAGCAGCTTGAGACCTTTTTGTCTACAGGCTAACAAGAAATCCAGCAATGTGGCTTGAAAACATTCTGCTGTATCTGGCTGGTATCCAGAAACACCAAAATATACCGAGAGATTCACTTGGTGTCGCTCTGCATTGAACCACAACTCAAAGCACAAGGACAGAACTCTAAAATGCAGCAGCAGTGCCTGTGCCATGGCAGCATCACCCACATGCTCATCAACATTAAACTAACTTATTTCCAGACACTTAGAAAGAGATTCAGTTGGAAAGTATAGCTAAGTGAATTCATGGAGAGGAAAATACATTATTTTAAACTTATCCAGGCTGCTTCCCCTTCTTACCAATTTGGATGGGGAAAAAAAGGGTGTTTCTAGAATTAGGAATTTGTCATCTTGTTTATATAGAATGAAACATTTATATAGAATGAAGCATTTCCAAACCTCTGCCCCTCAAAGACGTCCCAAGGACTATAGGTTCTGTGTTGCTCTTGGAGCATGTGAATTGCCTTAAAAGAGTATTCCAAGGTCTCTTTTATCACCTTCTAAATATTTTGGGATCAAATAACTCAAAAAATTAATATATACTCCCCTCCTCCTAAGTACAAGAAGCAAAGAAAGAACATCAGGACAGTGGAATGACAAATTCCTAAATCTTAAACTCTCTTAGAAACACTTTAAAAGATAGTGCCAAGATTTTTGCAGGGAAAAAAAAAAAAAAAGTAAAGAATAGAACAGTTGTCTTAAAATTCTGTAGCTTGTCTAAAAATTCAATGTGCAATTATTTGCAATCTCTTGAAAAAAAAATCCCAAGTATCACAAAAATAGTTGCCTGTAAATACTCCATTTAAACCCACATCTCAGAATTCACTGCTCATAACTACCACAGTGTCAAGCAGACTTGGTTTCACTTCACCAAGAAACTGATCATGCTCATTTCTATAGAGAAATAAGGATTTCTACCAGAAAACATATTGCTTCTTTTAAGCTTTTTATCCTTGTTGACCACTAGTGAAATTAAGTCAGGTTTGCAAATTGTCATTTGTGGGTTTCAACACCTTTCTTGTACCAAACTTCCTGAAAATGCTGATGCCAAGGACTGTGACCCTGAACTTAACTCATTAAACAGAAAGTCAGGTAAGAAACAGAGCCCTTCGTGCTCTGTGTTATCTAGTGCAGACTGGTATGTTCTGAACAAAGTGTTCTTATGATTTTACACAAAACTGATCAATTGCGGGAGAATGAACACTGCAGGAGAACGTGACTGACAGTCCTTGCTCATCACTGGGGTAGAAAACCTGAGCTGAACTACAGCAGCTCGTAACAGCCACAGATTACATTTCTCATAGGAAGGGTTCAATCAGAGGCATTCAGTGACACTGGCAAAATTCTCCTTGTCACATTGCTTCCTTTTCTGGTTCTCAGAACGCTGCCAAGTATCAAGATTGCATCAGAAGCACAGATCCTTACAGAGGGCTGCTCTGTGAGAGCATGTTACCAGTGGTGTGCTATAAAGAATACTGGTGAAACCAGGTTGTGCTTCTAATACAACTTAGTGTGGCTAGAGTGATAGGTTTTCAATATTTTCTGAGTACATACTGCATAAACCAGACTTTTAAAACAATCATTTCAAATGCAAACATTCTCCAACAAATCTACAGACGTTTCTGGGAAGTTCTGCCAATAAAAACTGCTTCTATTTCTGCCAATGAGGTTTTAATTGTGAATCCAACATAGCAAATTAAAAAAAGGGGGGACAAGAACCCCAAACCCCCAAAGCACTGCAGTTGTTATAGAATCAATTTAGCTGGAAAAGACTTTTGCAGTCATTGAGTCCAACCTGACCTAACATTACGCTGTCAACTGGACCATGGCACTGAGTGCCACATCCAGTCTTTCCTTAAACACCTCCTTAAACTCCACCACCTCCCTGGGCAGCTCATTCCAATGTCTAATCATGCTTTCTGTGAAGAAATTCTTCCTAATGTCCAACTTTAACCTCTCCTGGTGCAGCTCGGGTCTGTGTCCCCTTGTCCTGTCACTGGTTGCCTGCGAGAAGAGGCCGAGCCCCACGGCTGCAGCCTCCTTTCAGTGGTGTGGAGAGTGAGGGGGTCACCCCTGAGCCTCCTGTTCTCCAGGCTATACTCCAGTTCAAACAGAAACAGCATGAAAGAGCGTCCAAAGAAGGGCTCCTCCTCAGAGACGGATGCCGTGAGCCTAGCACGGCAGCGCTTGCCAGCGGAGTTGAAATTTGCCAGAGCCGAGGAGCTCCAGTGGAGCGAAGCCACACACCTGCAAGGCCACCAGGACATGGCAGCAGCTGAGAACGACACAGGGCAGCGCCACCCGCCTCCTCCCAGCGAGCGCCTACCAGGAGCGACGTCCCCAGCCCCTAGAACCGCAAAGCCCCCCACACAGAGTCCTGACGGGACGCTGCCCTCCCCGCTGCTCAAACGCGCCTGTCTGACGAGAAGCACCCGAACGCTCCCGCCACAGCCCCGCAGCCGGCCGCGGCGGCCCCGCCCGTGCCTCGAGGAGCGCCCACTCCCCCTGCCCGCCTCACCGGCCGCACTGCCCCGCAGCCGCTCGGGGACGCCCCGCAGGTCTCCGTGCAGCCCGCGGAAGATCTCGTGCAGCCGCTCCAGCTGCTCCGAGGACGCGGCCCCGCGGCCCGCCATGGCCCCGCGCCCCCGGCCCTGCCCCGGCAGGCGCTTCCGCCGCCGGGGCCGCCTCGCGCACTGCCTGCTGGGAGCTGTAGTCCCGGGGAGGCGGCCGTGCCCGCACCGCGCGGGGGCGCTCGTCCGCCGCCGCCACGGAGCGCCCCGGGCCGGCAGCGCCGGTGCGGCCCCGGGGCTCCCCGGTACCGGCGTGACCCGCCGCCGCCGCGCTGCCCCCAGGCCTGGGCGCCTGCCCACGTGCACATCGGTGCACGCTCCTTGCCAGGGTTCATGACATGAGCCTCGGCGTGGGGTTGTAAAAATGTGCTTCAAACGCCACTGCCGACAGCCGCCACTGCGCTGTCTCTGGAGACATTTCTCGCTCCTTAATTGCGGACTGCGTTTCAGAATGTTTCGCGGGACCCAGGTCGGAGTACTGTGGTTCCGGGGCAAAAAGCAGCGGGCCGCCCGCGTACCTGCGGGCAGGGCCGGCGGGGGCGCGGTGCGTGCGGAGGTGTGGCGGTACGGGTGTGGGCGAGGCCAAGCGGGCGGGGCGGAGGCGGATCCGAAAGGGAGGGGCGCGGGCTGCCGGAGCCGTGCGCTGGCGGTGCGCGGGTAGCTGGCGGCAGGGATGCTCAGCTGCTGGGAAGCCGCGCTGGGCGCCGCCGTCTCCGTGCCCGTCTTTCTTTTCGTGGCAGCGCCCTACATCAGGTGCGTCTTACCGAGCGCAGCCCCTGCCCTTCGCGTGTGTTCCGCCCCGCAGGGCGGCGCCCGTTGGGGCGCGGAGCTGGCGCGCTTCGCGTTTCTTGCGTGTGTGTCTGTGTGAGTGCGGCGGGAGTGCGAACAGCGGGAATCCCGCGCTGGGGTCGGAGTTATTCAGGCCTGCCCGCTCCAGCGCCCCGGCGACACAGCCGCGCTGCCGGGGCTTTCCCGGGGCTCGCTCGGCCCTGGCACCGCCGGTGCTTTCCCCGGGCTCCCTCCGGGCGCCGGCGCGCTCGCGGCGGCGCGGCAGGGGGCGGGGCCCGCGTTCTCCTCAGGGCGCTGCGGCGAAGCCCATTGGCCAAAAGGCCTCGGGGCGCGCGGCAGCAGCCAATGGGAGCCGTGGCTCCACTTGACGCACGGATGGGGCGGGGCCGCGTCGGGAAAGCGCGGGGGATCGGGGGTGGGGCGCGTTCCCGGTGTCCCGATCGCGACAGGGCCGTGACCAGCCGCTTCAGGCGAGGGCGCCCGTGGCTCCCTGGGGTGAGCCCGAAAATTGATGCGAACCCAGGTTCTGGGTGCTCAGCCCCGGACGGGGCATGCTGAGCAGGCAGAGGTGACTGGTGCCTCCCCTCTTGCAGGCGGTATGTCGCTGGAGGACGGTGTAAGTCGACAGCAAGGTTGGAGGGGAAGGTGGTGATAATCACGGGAGCCAACACAGGCATCGGGAAGGAGACCGCCAGAGACCTCGCAAAAAGAGGCAAGTGCAGTCTTGTCAGCACGTATGCCTCTGCAGCCGGAGTGGCTGTACCTTGTGCCAGTAGCCCCTTTTCTGGACCTAAGGAAGAGGTGTTGTAGGCTTATATTGAAGTAAACTGGATTCCAGAGTTACTGCAGATGAGCCCAAGTGCTGTTCCTTCCGAGGCTGTAACCACTGAAGTGCAGGTTTCCAGTTCCTTAACTGGGAACTTTTCATTGCTTGGACTCCAAAAATGTGCCTTGGGGACATAAAAATGCGTTGCATTGCAACTGATTGAAGGGGACTGGGGAAGTTCCTGGATTCTGCTTGTAGGAAGCTGAGAAATGCCATAGGTCCACCACTATGTGCTTTAGTTATTCATGTTTCAAGCTAATTTGATGCAAATGTTATTTGGCTAACTAGTAAGAATATTAAACTACCTGTTCACAATCCATTTAGAAATTACTCTGGCTGGAATCCATGACCTTTATGTGCTCCTGGCTTGATGTTCCCATTATAGGGGCAGATACAATGCTATCATACCAGTGTTGTATGCATTCCTGACCTGGGAGAACATGGACAGAGGCACTTAAGATGTGTATTTGCCTAGTCTGAAATCATCTTTCAGCAGGACTGTAGCTCACACTTGAGTGGGGAAAGCTTTGTCCCTTCCAGCCATCCCCCTGACTGATGCTAGTTCCCTAAAGAAACAGTATATTGTTTGTAATTGCTGGGCATGGTCAGCCTGCTTGCCATAGCCTTGATCATCCAGTGTGCTCCAGTGATCTCATCTTATGTTCCTGTTGTTCCCCCCTCCCCTCCTTGCAGGTGCAAGGGTAATTATTGCCTGCAGAGACACAGCAAAGGCAGAAGCTGCAGCCAATGAAATCCGAGCTGAGACAGGGAACCAGCAAGTTATTGTGAAAAAACTGGACTTGGCTGATACGAAGTCCATCCGGGAGTTTGCTGAGAGATTTCTAGCAGGTAGAGTCTCTAGATTCTTATTTTTAGTGGGAGTATTTTACTAAGGACTGCTGTCTGTTCTTCTAACCATTGCCAAAGCCCTGTCCTGCTTGTCTCTGTACCTCTTGGGTACTGTGGTTCATAGCAGGGGCTGGTCATAGGCCATGAGCTAGTTTGTGGTAGGAGATATATCCTTTTTTTAAGGTGATGTGGCTGCAAGTCAGACAACAAGGGGTGAGTTGTACTACCTTCTTGTCTGCATTCTCTGTTTCCTTGTTTAAAGATATTTGTTGTTTCTTGCAGAGGAGAAGGAACTCCATATTCTCATTAATAATGCTGGGGTAATGTTATGCCCTTACTCCAAGACTGCTGATGGCTTTGAGATGCATCTGGGAGTCAATCATCTTGGTAAGGCTAGTGGAATCATGTTTGCACTGAATATGGAACCATAGAATCGTCAAGTGATTTGGGTTGGAATTGCCCTTAAAGATCATCTTCTTCTAACATCGATATCTATAGCAAAATGCCAAAGGAAAATCCTTTTGGATTTTCTCTTCCTCATTCTTCCTTTTACTGGGATGATGGAGGGTCAGAGTCAGAATTCTGGAGATGCAATGTGATGTGTTTGTGCATTGTGGATCTGTATGTGTTACCTGGGACATTTTGAAATGTATGATGGCTACAGCTTTTTGAAGATGAAGAGCAGAACCTGAAGGCCCCAAAAAAAGTGTAGATGTTAATTCAGGGGAATTTAACAGAAATTTTCTTTTTCCTGGACTTGAAATGAGGACAGCAGTAAGGTACCACGTAGAAGCAAGCAGGGGAACCCTTTCTAGAAGGATGACCTTTCGTCTCCCCCCTAGGTCACTTTCTCTTGACTTTCCTCTTGCTGGAGCGTCTGAAGCAGTCTGCCCCAGCCCGCATCGTGAACGTGTCCTCGCTGGCTCACCACGGAGGCCGAATCCGCTTCCATGATCTCCATGGTGAGAAGAGCTACAATCGTGGCCTTGCCTACTGTCACAGCAAACTGGCGAACGTGCTCTTCACCCGGGAGCTGGCCAGGCGGCTGCAAGGCAAGTCCCGGGGGCAGGCGGGGTGTTTATCTGCTTGGCTTTCTGAGCACCATGATGGGGAGACTGGATTGAAGAAAGAGCTGCAAATTGTCTATGCAGAAATTTAATGGTTTGAGGCAAATGTCACTGAGAGCTCTTTGCAGGAAGAAAATATCTCCTGTCTGTGGAACCAGGAGACTTACAACACAGATTGTCTCTACAGCAACAGGGTAGAGTTTAGTAGCTTGGCACAGTTGAATGTATCTCATTGTTCTTTGGTGTTTGTCAAAAACTAGCTGCATCCACAGAGACAGTTGTAGTATGTGGATGGAAGCTGAAAACAGCCACAACTGCAGTCTCCAATAGAAAAGCTAATGCACACTCAGCTGCCTTAAATGGTGGTGGCCCGTAGAACAAGCATAAGATTAGATAGTACCTTGCAAGTCACAACATCTGTCACAGTCGTGTCATTCAGTCCTGTTCATAAACTTAAGTAATACTGATTTACTACAACAGAAGTAGTGTCTTCCCCAGGAAATTACTATTAGAGTAAGTCAAAAGAGGCAGGTGTTCTCAAAAGCCTGCTGGAAACTGCTGCTGGTTTAGCACTCAGACCCTCTAGCACTTTGTTTTGCAGAAGGCACATAATGACTCCTGTGTTTAGAAGGGAGCAGGGGATGCTCCTCATCCAGTGCCATGGATGAGTGATTTAAACTGCTTCAAGAATCGCCATCAAAGGTATTAGCAAAAGTGGTTTTAACCTGATGTCATAAGAGGGTGACTTAAAGTATGATGGCAAGGTTCAGTCTATTATTTACGTGGAAGACACATGCAAAGGAAAACTGATTTAGAATTAAATTAGAATGATTCACACAGGACTGGAAACACACTGTGTAAGGAAGACCCTCCTGATGAATCGTGAGGCTCAGCATGGAGCCCCATGCTTTTTAAACTCCTTAGGGAGCCTATGTCCAGTTTGAGTCTCAGATTTGGACGATTTATATGTATACCAAGTTTCTGTAATTATTACTGAGCAGCTACATGGACTAGTAATGTTTCCTCAATATTAATTCAGCAGTCTTTACCAAGGATTTATTGCAAGCAAAGGGCCTCTCTGCCTTGCTTAAGGAAGGCTCTCAGTCTCAGGTAAGAAATCTCAAACCTTGAGAGGTGCTTCTGCTCCAGGGGAGAGTTAACCTGCTGTGCAGTCCAGTTGCAGTCTGAGCTGAGGTTCAGCTGGACTCATCCAAAGATTTGCTGTTGGTAAAAGCTCTCTGCCTTGAGGAGCAGCCTTGAGAGGTGAGCCAGCTCAAGTGAAGACTGTCACCCTGCAGTCATATTGCCTAGCAGGGAGAGCTCAGAGAAGGCTTAATTAGGCTGTAATATTTACAGAATGGAGTGGTTGGCTTGTATTCAAATTACATACCGTGGGAAAGGTACATGAGACTCAGTGCATCCACAACCTTATTTGTTCCTGGATAAAAGAGTATTGGAAAAGCCATGTGCTACTGATGGGTGTTCCAAATGCATGTGCACTGATACCCACTGGCCTCTGTGGGTTTCCTAGAGGAGTTCTGGCCCATTTACAGCTTTACCTTCTTTCGAG